CAAGTCTCATGTGCCTGTGGTTTCACCAGCACCTTTACCCTTCAAAACCAGAACGTAGTAATGCTCACATTACAGTTTGGTGGCAGAAATATATAAGAATTTTTTTAAAGCCTCGCACTAGGGAAACCCTATGTTGCGGGTGCCATGGACACACACATAGACAACCATAAATTACACCCAAACTCACGAGAGAAATAAATGTAGGCCATACAAATATTTCTCCCGGCCCGGGAATCGAACCTGTGACGGCCACAAACGCAGTTAAGGTGGTACGTACTTCGCTGGTTGAACATTTTCACAAGGAACTGTACTACGTTTTTATGTTTACTGTTCATCTCACGCACAAAACAAGCAAAATAGGCGCTTTGTCGTCAAGTTGCGGATTGCCAGCCCGTTGCACCAAGTACCAAGTAAGTACTGTTCATCTCTTCTTTAAACTTTCAAATTGAATACTTTGTATTTGAATTTTTAAGTAACGTAAGTATAATTGTGACAATATTATTATATTTTAAGTTATAATTACTGTTTTGTGTTTTGTTTTATTGAAGCAAGTTGCGACATGTCACATAACCTCTGCTATGAAATGTTGCGAAATTCACCAAAAGGGTATAAGGTCTGAAAAACAACTCAAACAGGAAGTCTTGCCTTTTTATCTACTTAATGTATGTATTAATGCTAAATGATTATGTCAATGTAAATAAGAAAATTTAATTTATTTTTAATGTTTCGTAAATTTACAAGAACTATTGTTCAAAGGTAGTACGGGTAATCAAGAAAATTCTAAGTAAATTTTCTAAATATGTTGAACTTTGTTTGTATTCATGAGCATAATAAGTGCAAATTATTACCGCACATTTAAATTACACCTTGTATAAAATACAGTTATTTTCTTTTTTTTGGTAATGTTACAAGAGAAAATATCTTTCCTTCTTTTGTTATACTTTTCCGCTGGTTTGGTCGATCATAATAGTCTATTTGCCAGATGGTAGATGTTACCACAGATCTCTTAAGGCGAGTCACAGGAGGAGAAGCGGAGAAAGCTGTTTTGCGAGACTATATAAATGCTAATGCTAAATGATTGAAGTATTTACTATCAAATAACGGTCTTACGATATATAATATACGATACACCTAAGAATATTATTCATAGAATATGCTAATTATTACACGATAGGATGTAAAGGGTTTTTCAACAAGAACTTTGTTTTGTAATTTAAAATAAAACAAAAAATTTAGATGTATTAAAAATTTGAATCAATTGCAACCTTAAAACTCTAATAGAGCAATTAAAATAGACCAATTTATCGAGTTCTTAGGTTTTCGCGATTGTTACACATAGGAAATGAAACTATTTTTCCGGATTTAAATCGCGTATATTTGTTTTTTCAAACAAACCGACTTTTCGGGTCCTTTACAGGTCCCATAGTCACGGTTGACGATCGGTCAACCATGACCATGGGACCTTTTATTTCCTATAGACCAATTTGTCAAAAAATGACTAAAAACTTTGATGAAAGAATCGATATCTGTAACTGTGGTCGTGGTGGACATTTATAAGATATCATTTTTCATTCATAATTGCCAAACCTTACTTTTTTAATACAATAAAAATTTAAATCATTGTCATCTAAATTTATTGTTTTATTTTGATTTACAAAACAAAGTTCTTGTTGAAAAACCCTATACATTACTCGATTATATAAAATCCCGCAAACAGGCAATGCTCTAAGAATCATTTTAGATCACTAAAATGAAGAATTCAAAAATAAAATGGCTAACTTTGCGCATAATTTTTAAATGAAGATGGAGAGCCTGCTAAATTTAGATTTTCAACTGAAGCCCAATAGTTATTAAATTCACATTTATCTCAAGACTTAAAAGTTGCCTAGCGGTGTAACGACACACCACGCCGCCTGTGGCCCCATCAGTCGCCACCAGGGGCTTGTTAATGTCGGATCTGTGTCCAATTCTCCGCCTGTTGTTATTGAATCATATCAATTTACACCGCGCGGATTATGGGACGTGCCGGCAGCACCCAAAACCTCACCACCTCAAATCTAGGCTTTCAAATAGCTTGCCTTAATATATTGCAGTAACGCACACACTTAACATAGCCCCGCCCTAGGGAAGCCCTGTGTCGCGGGTGTCATGGACACACACGTAGACAACCATATATTACACCCAAACTCACGAGAGAAACAAATGTAGGCCATACAAATATTTCTCCCGGCCCGGGAATCGAACCTGGGACCTCTAACCGTTCGGCCACTGAGACAGTAATATCTGCGCAGTACGGAGGTAATCCTAAAAAGGGAATGAGCAAATAGTTGTTAGTAGCATCTTAAAGCGTATACTGGTAATATCCCACTGTGTACTTCAGTAGAATGATGATAAAATCTCAATGGTTGTTTGTGTTGTTTAGAAGGAACAATTTGTAAGATAGGTTTTCTGCTACGTTTGGTGTTAAGTATTAAGTATAGTCGTTTCCAGGTCACTCAACTGTCGTTCCAGCTTTCTCAAACTCGTACCTTATAAGGGGTGATTATTCAGGAGATGGCAAAACTTTCTATTTATTTTAAATTTCTTATCGAGGGTGTTAATTTAGATGCATTACTTTAAGAATAGGTAAAAGCCTGTGTGTGAATATGAAGCAAATGTGATGTGAAGTCTGCCTGCAAAATTTGTATATACAATCCATTTTTTGCGGTTCAGTAACTTTGTGCCTTAAGATACGAGTTTGATACAGACGATATGTAGAATTACTGCTTTTGTATTCATTACCATAACGCACACACGCACACACACTCAACATAGCCCCGCACTAGGGAAACCCTGTGTCGCGGGTGCCATGGACACACACATAGACAACCACAAATTACACCCAAACTCACGAGAGAAATAAATGTAGGTCATACAAATATTTCGCCCGGCCCGGGAACCGAACCTGGGACCTCTGCGTGGCAGTCCGGCATGGTAACCGTTCGGCCACGGAGGCAGTTAACTTTGAATTGACAATTAAAGTGTCAGAGTTTAAGAGTTAACTAATTTCGACTGTCTACGTATATTATTACATCTATTTAACTGAAAGTGCTTTTGGGTCGTCACGTTTAATTTTCTCCAAATTTCTGTTTCCTTCAATTCTGTTTCGTGTTTTACTTTAAAGGTGTGGTAGCCAGGTGTTGTTATTATGGGATCCTTTTGGAGTTCTTCACGAGAGTACACCATCTCTTTCTGTCAATTCATTTTTGAGTGCATTAATGCTATTCTATTCTAATGCTAGGCTATTCACATCAACATTCATTGTATCTATATTATTACATATAATAATCGAAACACAGGAGCTGTAGGGCTCCTTGTGAAAGAGTTTTTACGATGAAGTACTGACAACTTACCTATTCCTGCCTTTCTGGTTTTGAAGGGTGCTTGTGAAATGACTGGCATATAGGACATGTCAACTTATGACAGTAGGACAGTATCCGTCCGATGTTCGCGTTTTAAAGCTCTGAGTGGCTCTTCAACCAGTATGGACAGGCGCGTCGCTTACCACCAGGCCCACGACTTGTTTGTCCCGTCACTTGGTATTATAATAATATCAGTACAGAGTATTAAAAAATCCGACCTCAAAAGTCATTAATTCATTCATTCATTAGTTTGCTACCCTTAGAAGCAGAATATTTTTTTAAATTGAAATGAGACCACTTCTCAGGTACCCTCTTACCAACAAAAAAACAATCATCAAAATCGGTTCACAAATGCCGCCGGAGTTATCGCGTAACATACGTACAAAAAAGTCGAATTGAGAACCTCCTCCTTTTTTTAAAGTCGGTTAAAAAAGTAACCATGCGGCTGGCTTTTTATCAATCTACCTACTTAATAAATAGTCACAAAATATATTTTACAGATCAAAGAAACAGTCACGCAATATCTTTAAACAGTTGCTCGAAGAAATCTCGTCTGTACAGTCACGCAACATCTTTTTCAAATTTGATCACGCAATAAATGTACTCATTGGCTCGAAGAACGAAATTGTTTCTACGTGAAGAAAACAATCATGATAACATGGTTTACGTAATAGAATTTTTACACGAAAGCTTTATGATGTTGTATTGTTATATATTTTTCATTTACCCTTGTATCTCGCTGTACCCTCACATTTTTTATGTGGAGAATCCATCCTACATTATTATATATATATATATACAGTTATGTGTAATATTACTTTTTTTAACTATATTAGTTTAACTTAATTTAATTTGAACATATTTGGCAGCCTTTGGGTTAGCGGTGGGACCAATTTGTGAAACGAACTTTTCTAAATTGCATCCGGTCTGAGTGGTTAATTTCATTGCTCTCTGGTGTTCGTAGTAACTGGAAATTCTCTGTATTAAGACAAGTTAATTGGTGTAATTTTGTGGTGCATAAAAAAGAAACTATTTATTTTCTTCATAGTTTTTATTTATTATATCAACCGACGGAATGAACAAGAACACGTCAGACTGTTCTAATGCTAATCAGAATTTTAGATCGCAAAGATGTGAGGGGCACTGCCACTGCATTCGTCACTTGACAAGGCCTATGTGCCTGTAATTTCATCAGTCTCTGACCCCTCAAAACTGGAAAGCAGCAATGCTCACATTACTGCTTCAGGGCAGAAATAAGAAAGTACTTTCAAAAAGGACCTTTACTGCTAACTGCTAAAAGAAAGTATTTTTACAAATATCCAAAACAAAGTCTTATTTTCAGATACAGGTATCTAATATCATTCACTGTTACCAATGACGCCTTCATCAAAAAATAACAGAAGAAAATAAAAACCATATTTTGTGAAAATTAAATTCTCAATTCTCCATCTCCAAACTTAACACTGTAATAACTTTATATCAGTCGAAATAAGAACGTCGCTACGATCGTCCTTTCCTCGTTCTACTCGACCAAAAATGCAATAATTATACTTTTGTTTGTTTTTTATATATTCACGTTGTATCTTTTCCTTGTTTCAGAGGGCAGAAGCAAGCATGAACCTGACATTAAATGATTCAGCAAAATGGCTAATCGAAGCATCAAAAGGCATACAGAACCCAAATGTACTTCTGGACAAATTCTCCCAAAACAGAAAAGTGGACGACCCAATAAGAGCTATACTCATGACGTTCTATGGTATCCTGGTAGTCATCGGTGCTGTGGGCAACGCTCTCGTTGTTATTTCTGTAAGTACCAGTTCTGTGAATATATTGATAAGGTTATTTTTATATTACTGTACAATTTTTATGTTACTATACAGTTGATGCGCTATGATACCTGACTATCTAACCGACCATTTGGTTCTGGATAGACAGGTGTAAAGAAAAGTAACAAAACTTAACCTTAACGTTCTCGCCGTAAAATTAATTTTGGTGTGATTTCCTTTTTGCATCATTACTCATTAATGAATAATATTTTAAGAAACTTCTAAAATTAATTGGATCTTTAACGTATAGTTACTTAAAAACAGAATACAAATTTCAATCATAAATGCATAGGAAGGCTCTCAGAACCAAAGGGTCGGCTTAGGGGTAAGTCCGGTCGTGTATGGAGTACTGTAGCTACCACCTATCGGATGGCTCTGCTGCATATCAACTGGCCACCTTGGATTAAATTGACAAGCGTATCAAGAGGCTTTTAAGTGACTCAGAATTGGTAGAGGCGAAGCTGCAAAGCCTTGAACGCCGTAAAGTTGCCTGCTTATTGGTATTCTACAGGATTATAACACGGAGAGTGTGCGAGCGAATTGCACGAATTAATTCCACCTTCCCCTTTCCATCATCGGGGGACCAGGCGTTGGCTGAGGTTCCACCCCTGTTTTGTGGATATTCCAAGAATTCGCAAAAAGCGCTTCGTTTCCACATTTATATGGCGAACGACTACGGAGTGGAATTCCCTGCCTGCAGATTTGTTCCCTGAACGTTACAACTCGGACCTTTTCATGGCGAGAGTAAATAGGCATTATTTAGATGTGCATGCTCCATCGTCGACTTCATCGCCACTTTCCATCAGGTGGGATGGAAGTCAAATGTGCACTTAGTTTATAATAAAATAAAATCTTAGGGCGTCCACTGTACGAGTACAACTGTTGAGTGTGTGCGTGTTCGTTACATACGTTAATAATATAACATCAGTCTCCCAGTAGTGTAGGCGAAAACAACGGATTTCCAATCACTGACCTTTATACCTATTGCTTCTTTCATTCCGTTAGACCTTAGTGGTGTAGAGACAGCTCAGTGGTAGAATGTCCACTTCGCAAAATGTCTTCAGATCGCGAAGCTTTCATTTCTCAGAATGTCTTTTTTGCAAAATGTCCCTTTCTCAAAATATTCCTTTTTTTTCAGTGTACATTCACTCTTAGTTTATTTATTACTAGCTGGTACCCGCGATTTCGTCTACGTAGAATAAATACTTCGAGTAGCCTACTCATCCCCTTTTTTACCTTGATCAAAAACGCTGAAACATAGTTTAAACGCTTATTATGAATTTTATGTTCTTTTTCTTGAGAAATGATTGGTTCTTCATACAAACTTTCATCTCCTATTTTACCCCTATTAAGATTTGTTTTTGTGATATAAAGTAGCCTATGTCCTTCTCCTAGTTCCATCTATTTCTATTCATCAAATTTGATTCATCGATTTAGGCGCGAAAACGTAACAGAGAGAGTTAAATACTTTCGCATTTATAATATTATTCTGGATTAAAAAATATGCTCAAAAAGAAAAACTTTAATGTAGGCTGCTAATGGTGTAACAATAATTATGCACAGTTTTGGTTCGGTGTTGGTTTGGTTTAGTCGGTCCACCGGTATTCAACATCTAGGCAACAAAATTGCTTTTTATATTATTCGCTTTTAGGAGTTAGGGCTCCACTGGTAGGTAGGTGTAATAGTTTTTAAAAATTCTCACCTGCAGTCTATACATAGGATCGAGATGTGACTTATAGGTTCTACTATAGGTACTAAATCCATAATAAATATTGTTGTTTCGCCTAAAGGAATTTTATTTTTAACAAAAGCTAATTTGGCCAGTATCGCGCGTAGCTTATCGCTCACATAATTAATATGCTCATTCCACTTAAATTTGTTATCAATTATCAACCTTAAGTACTTGAATTTATCGAATACTTGAACAGGTGTGCATGAGCAGTTGCGCAAATTAGCATGGAGACATGTATGATTGTGAGGAATCACATTATGGGGTTTTCTGTTCTAGCTGAAACTAATGTACATTAATATAGTCTTATGAGTATGAAGCACAATACTCTAACATCATGGTACCATTTCGATAGTAAAGTCCAATTGTAGATGTTTTCAAGCTTCGGCTAGGTCTTTATTATAGCTGCTAAAAGGCATGTATCATAGTATAATAAGAGCAAGTAGCTTCGTTCAGAGCGTAGGGTTGCTACATTATTATTTTAGTTGTACCTATTGGTTGTAAACATAATTTGAAAAAAAAAAAAGGTTTTCATTACAGTAGTTACATGCTGTATTGAAATAACCTTTGTTAATGCAATAGGTTCTTATACACGTATAATATTGCCATTTTTATATCAGGATTACGGATTAATATCATGATTATTGAGTACGATTATGAAATGCTAAATAATTCTGAGCACTCTTGTTCAAACTACCTATAAATACGTCTACTATTTGATGTAATTTTTTAAACACGGAGCGGCCGTTTGAGTAATTAAATTCCTTAATTATAGAAATATAGATAGAAATCATTTATTGCAATGCCGCATTATACACAAAAACTATAATTATAAATAAAACAAAAGAATAAAATAAATTACACAGAAAACAGCATAGCAGGCATTGAAACAAAACTACAAATTTTACTGTATAAATTAATACTACACTAACATGTATGCGGCTGTGGCGTATTCAAAAGGATCTCATTCAGCTAAAGCCACAGCCGAGAATGGGCTGTGACGTTGGTTTTCAATGGACCCTAGCGAATGAGTGACGGACATGTGCATCTCGAAATGAAATAAAATACTTCGTAAATACTTATGCCTTATGTGTAAGTGTCATTAATTAATGACGCTTGTGATAAACCATACTATGCAACACGAGTGCACCGTGAGAGTATGCGAATGTGTGCGTCTGTATACAGTGCACGGCAGGCGTGCACACACACAAGCCGCATTGCGACACTAGTTTGGAATTACCATACATGTCTTATTATACTGTGCATGTACCGTCAGCAAACTGGTGGACAGTTCGAGTTCTTAGGTTTTCGCGATTGTTACACACAGGAAATGAAACTATTTTTTCCGGATTTAAATCGCGTGTATTTGTTTTTTCAAACAAATCAACGATTCGGGCTCTTTACAGGTCCCATGGTCACGGTTCACTGTGCGTGATTACTTACGCGATTTAAATCCGGAAAAATAGTTTCATTTCCTTTGATAGACAGTTTCTCAACTAAGTTCATTAAATTCATTAAACCAGTCACTATGGAGTTCGGGTGCTAATGAAGAGTGAGCAAGACCAAAGAAAATGTACTTACAATTTATTAGAACTAATAAAGTTAAGATACGAATGAAATGCAGAGAAAACAATGACAATAACAAAAAGAAAAAGTCGTCAAAAAAATAAAATTTCTGTCTAAACTTAAACAGCTAAAAAGACGACAATAAGCAAAAATATTTGTAGTAACTGCTGCGATTGGCTACTATAATCTTGACATGAATTATTTATTCGGCTTTGCATACCGCATTCATTTAGCTTGTCATGTTCCAAAGTGGCAAATGTTTTACCATAATCAATAAATATTTCTTGAATTGATTATACTTGAAATTAATGGAAAAAGAAAATTTATTGCATCTATTTTCAATAATTGCCTATCGCACTTGAAAGTATTCATCTCAATACCAAAAGTCTTAAATTTAAATAATGCTATATATTCGGCTATTCATGCCTTGTATCTACATTTGCCTGTTTTCAAAAGATTTTCTACTAGCAATCTAGTCAAAAAAATGTTGTTGATATATGCTTCTTGAATAAATGTATATATCAACATTTTTTATGTGAACATTTCTCGAAAAGCAGAATAAATAAGATGTTCCTTTGACACTGTTCATAAACACTCGCCTAAAATGCCCTCAGGTGAAGTGATTTCACCCTAATACTATTTACATTCCTAAAAAAACTTCCGTTGTTTCTCAAGGCATCCCAAACATTGAACAAAGAAGGATCTGAACACATACACGGCTCTAAAATAGAAACGCACTTAGAAACTGGATATTTCTGAATATACGACTTTATACCAAAAGTTTCGAGAGCTATCACCACGCGGTTCATGCTTAATAACCCTTATAGGAGTGCAAAATTAATTATGTTACCAACAAATGCGAAGGTACAAAAACATTTAACTTCTAATTACCGAGAAGATTGCGTAACAGTTTAGGGGTTGTCGTGTTGTTTCGAAATTGACTTACCGTATTTGTTACGCGAATAGGCGAAATTATAAAAAACCTTACTTATTTATCATTTTCAGTTGTTGGATCGCATAAGTTTTGTAAATAAAATGCTTACGTACATATTATACATTTATTCTAAATTTGCAAATTGTACGTCAACCAAAAGTAATTGAATTTGTTGTTAATTTGTTTATTTGTCGGGTTAATACACAAATAAGCAACTAATTAAGTGTCGATCAATTTCGACGATAACATAGTGCATAGATATTCAAAAATATCGCTGCCTTTATACAATAACGCAGTATTGCAAAATAATAAGATTTTGAAGTAAGTACTACAGGGACAAGCTGAGCAAGCGAAATTTTATCGTGAATTAAGCACCCAACGTCTTACATACAAAAAAAATATTTTATATTATATCTGATCGAAAGTGGTTGCCGACATCGGTAGAAATTTGCAATGCACTTGTTGAGTATCTTTAATATCTCAAGTACGTTTTCGTAGCAGTAGAGTTCCTTGTGAAAGAGTTCGTCCAGGAAAGTATTGCCACTTTGCCTATTTCTGCCACCAAGCAGTAATGTCAGCATTACTGTGTTCCGGTTTTGAAGGTGAAATTACAGGCACATGAGACTTGTCAACTTATGTCTCAGAATGACGGGCGTAGTGGCAGTGCCCTGCGATTTAAAGCTCTATGTGGCACTAGAACTGCTATAGACAGGCCTCACCTTACCACCAGGCACATGAGGCATTGTTCGTC